GAGAGAGAGAAGAGGAGAGAGAGAGCGAGAGAAGGGGGGGTGGAGAGAGAGTAAAGAGAGATATAGGGAGGGTGAGAGAGAGAAGGGGGGTGAGAGAGAGAGCAGAAAGAGAGAGAGAAGGTGAGAGAAGAGAGAGAGAGAAAGGGGGGGGCGGTGAGAGAGAATAGAAAGAGAGAGAGGAGGGGTGATAGAAGAGGAGAGAGAGAGAGAGAAGAGACAGAAGAAGGGGGACGGGAGAGAGGGTGAGAAAGGGAGTAGAGAGAAGAGAAGAGAGAGTGCGAGAGAGAGAGTAGAGAGAGAGATAGTGAGAGGGGGGGTGAACCGAAGATCGGTGAGAAGGAGAGAGAGAGAGATGATGTGATGGGTAGAGATAGGAGGCTGAGCATCGATAAGACGCTAGAGTGCAGCATTGTTTATCAGCTATAGAGTTTCCATCGGCGATAAGCACCACACACAGAATCTGTGTCCCTCCAATCTGTGTCGCGTCAACAATTAGTGACAATGTCGATTATGTCACGCACGCATGACAGTGTAGATTATGTCACACACACACTATGACAGTTTAGACTGTGTCACATATACATGACAGTGTAGATTATGATACACATAACATGAAAATGCAGTTTGTCATGCATACAATTCGCGTGTTCGATACAGATATAAGGGAGAGAGAAATGAGACAAGAGATGGAGGGGGAGAGAGAATGATAGAAAGAGAGGGAGAGGGGCGAGAGAATGAGAGAAAGAGATGAAGGGGGAGAGAAAGGAAATGAGAAAAGAGATCGAGGGGAGAAAAATGAAGAGAAAGAGAATGGAGGGGAGAAGAATTAAGAAAGAAAGGAGGGGGAGAGAAATATAGAAAGAGAGGAGGGGGAAAAGAATGATAGAAAGAGAGGGAGAGGGCGAGAGAATGAGAGAAAGAGATGGAGGGGGAGAGAAGGGAATGAGAGAAAGAGAGGGAGGGGGAGAAAAAATGAGAGAAAGAGATGGAGGGGGAGAGAGAATGATAGAAAGAAAGGGAGGGGGAGAGAGAATGATAGAAAGAGAGGGAGGGAGAAGAATGATAGAAAGAGAGGAAAGAGGGCGAGAGAATGAGAGAAAGAGATGAAGGGGGAGAGAGAATGATAGAAAGAGAGGGACGGAGAGAAAAAATGAGAGAAAGAGATGAGGTGAGAGAAGAATGATAGAAAGAAAGGGAGGGGAGAGATGAAATAAAAAGAAGAGGAGAAAGAATGATAGAAATAGAGGAGGAGAGAGAGAAGATAAGTCAGAGAGGCAGGGAAAGAATGGCGGAAAGATAACCCGAGAGATGTAAGTCGAAAGAGAAGTCCGTAAGAGAGGAATGAAGTGCGCGACAGAGAGAGAGGAAGAGAAATCCTCATGCAGGAGCGTAGAAAGAGAAAGAGAGCACGGGTGAGAGAGGAAGAGGGGTGGCATAGAGAGCGAGAGAGTGAAAGAAAGAGCGAGAGAGAGAGAGAGAGAGAGAGAGAGAAAGAGAGAGAGAGAGAGAGCGAGAGTGAAGGAGAGAGAGACAGACAAAGAATGAGAGAGTGTGTGCGAGAGACAGAGTGAGAAAGAGAGAGGGAGAGAAGAAGAGAGAGAGAAGGATAGAGAGAGAGAGAGAGAGAGAGAGCGAGAGAGAGAGGGAAGATACGAGAGAGCGGGTGAGGGAGAGGAAAGAAGGTAGTAGCAGCACTCCGTGAAGATACACGTAGCTGCATCGCCCGAATCATGGGAATACCGTGATGAGCAAAGCAAGCACTCTCGCTGCAGCGACCAGCAACAATAATTGGATGTACAGTGGTTATCTCGCGATTCCTTCTGGAACGCAAAACATCAAATTCTGCATTTTATAGTATATTATATCATTTAAAATATAAGAAAAATGGGGGATATACCGAGAGACGGAAGAAAGCGCAAGAAGAGAAAGAGAGCGAGAGACGAGAGAGAGAGAAGAGAGAAAGAGAAGACGAGAGAGAGGAGAAGAGAGAGAGAACAAGAGAGATACACGCCGCG